TATATATACTGTATATATACTATATACTATATATATATACAGTATATATATACTATACAATATATTTGGTCTGATACAGTCTACCTGATATTCCTGACTACAGACAGGAGAAAAATAAACATATGCAAGCACAATCTATAGTTGCATGAGGCTCAAAGATTTGTTAGCAGCGCTGTAACTTGATGGAGAAATGCAGATGAAAACAGTATTGCTCAGTTCTTGGGAAACAACAGCATATTAAATGTTCAGAGCTGACACGGTCTGTGGAAGTTGCAACTGTTCAGCCTCTGAAAGGATCAGCTGTCTAACTGATATATCACAGAGCAAGAAAAGATATTTGAAAGAAGAAAATATTATATTCATGTGTTCAAAATACAAGTAGCAAGAAAGACTTTTTTTCCTCAGGGTGGGAGGAAAGATAAAGGGGTAAAATTAATTTTTTGTTGCAAAGAAGCAAAAGAGCTGAGGCCACCTTGCAATATCAGCTGAACAATTTCAGTGGATCAGGAACAGATATCAATTACTGATTGGCACAGCTGATTCCACCTAAAGTAAAACGCTGTATTAAATTTCTGACAGGCAGTTCAAAGTTCTGCTTCTGTGATAACTCTGATTATATTGTATAGAGCAGATAAGGTCTCATTTGCCTGAATAAAAGAAGCATGGACTACATGGTATATCTGAGCCCACCTGTTCCCCTAACTTAGCTAAAGGCTTTCTCAACTCACTAGATGTCTCCAAGCAGTAATTTTCTTCTGGATATGTTCAGAGTTGGGATAGACCACATAAAAAAAAAACTGCTGCTTTGACTCTGGGCAAAGACTTGGCCTGATTCTCCACTGCAGTTCTTAGCTGTATTTAGCCTGGGTTTGGTACTACAAGACAGAGCTTAGCTAGCAGTACTCAGTTTCTGCAGATTGCTGGCCTCTGTGGCCAGCCAGGAGCTTCTTTTGTGGAATATTCAAATGGTTTGTGGAAGGAAGAGCAACAGCCAGTATCAAACTGATGGTCCAACCCATCCTCACAGCATGTTCCTCTACAATGGGCTGAGAAATGCTGTTCTACTGGCTCTTAATTACCTTTGTTGTGGGCTTTCCTAATTGGCAGGCTTCATCTTAGCATCATTTCCCCTTTTACACAAACCACACTCTGAGTGTTACAGCAGAAAATCTGCCTTGGGTTTATTTCCTCTCACCAAACTCCCTGTCTAGATATTAGTATCTCATCTGTCTACAGCTACAACAATGCCTGCAAAGGCATCACCTTCTCAAAGGTGAACCTTGAACAGGAAGCATTTGCCGTTCTGAGGAGAATAAGGTCCTGAAACACCTGAAAGTATTGCTCTTGATGGGCTGGACCATGGTTGTCTCCCTCTCCTATGGAAGATACAGCTGGAGCAAGGGGTACATTGCCAGTACAGTACTTTGTACAAGTTTTTGCAACAGCAGTATTCTCTGTGTTTCTCTCAGCTGTGGAAATCTCTTGTCATACTGCCTGAGAAGGTCTGAGCATATTGGCCTTTGAGGTTTTTGTAAGATTAAGCTTCTGCCTCCAGAAGAACTCTATATGTGCTAGCCTAAGTCAGTATTTAAATTGGTCTTAGCAGCACCAGGACAGATTTCATCATTTTGCCCAACTGTGACAGGACAAGAGGCAACAGACACAAGGTAGAATAAGGGAAACTTAGGACAGTTGGACTTCAGGAAAAAATTCTCCAATGACTGTGGGTCAGCAGTGGGACATCTCCACCCTTCAAAACGTTCAGAACTCACCTGGATAAGGCCCTGATCAATGTGATTTAACTTAGTAATTAGCCATTCTGGGAGCAGGGAGTTGGGGAAGACAGCTACCCCCTTGGTGATTCAGCTTCCCTGACACCACAGCAGTTACCCAGAGGTCCTCTGCGTCAGTGCCAGTGTATTGCCAAAGTTCCTCCCACTCCCCTTCACACTCCACAGCCCCCGTACCGTTGACTTTCTGGCTGAACTGCCACATCCCTCAGAACATGACTCCTCATGGATTCACATGCGGGGTGGTAGAGTGGGGCGGCAGGAAATGTTATTGCTGCTAAGTAACAACCACACCGTCTACCTCTGTTCTAGTTCTGGATGGCTGTTGTTGCTACCACAATGCCAATCCCCTGTGGAGGCTTCATGCCTGTTTTTGTTCTAGGTGAGTTTCAATTCTGTATTGCAGCGTGTAAGTCTGAGAGGTGGAGAGGAGAAGAGGAGAAGAGAAACATTGCATACGTACCCAGTAGGTTTCTTCTAGTGGATGAGTCATCACCTGATGTCTCTGACAAGCTTCGTTGTCCATATACCAGTTTCTGAGTCTCTGCATTTGTCATTTTCCCACCCCCAAATCCAAATGCTGAAGAGGAAATCCCTGCCCTTTTACATAAGGAACAACACGCTGTGGGGAGGCATGCTGAGCCACGGCCTTCTAATTTCTCTGCCTCTTCACTTGTATAGAAGCTTTCATCCTACAATTAATTGCTTCTTTCACACCTGAAGGACAGCTAGAAGTTACAACCTCAAAACTAGCACCTGCAATGTAATCCATGACTTACTCATTTCTTCTGACTGAAAAATGGTATTATACAAGAGTTTATTATTTTTTAAGACCAAAAAATAAAAATAATATGATGCTAATGTTAAGAAAGAGAGGCTATTTTAGACTAAAGCATACAAGCTCATGAAGTTCAGTATTAAGTACCCACAGCTCTTATATGAAATGATGTGCACTAAGGATGTCTGTAGCAAGTCAGTAGCAAGCCCTCTCAGTGCTGAAGGCTAATCACAAACAAGGCTGTGTTAGGAAAAGCCTAGCCAGTAAGGCAAAGGAATTGGTTACTGCCCAGCATTCAGCATTTTGGGCACAGTTTTTTGGAATATCGTGCCGTTTTGTCTCCACCGATACAAGAGATTTTGACAAAGTGCAATGACTCCAGTGGAGGCCACTGAGATTATTGGGGAGCTGGAGTACAAAGCAAACAAGCAGAGCCTGAGGAAGCTGGGCTTGTTCAGCCTGCGGTGCAAGAGGGGATCTAATTGCAACCTTCATCACCTAATGCAGCAGGGGATAGAGAGAATAGAAAGACTCCTCTTAGAGACAAACAATAAATAGAAAGTAAAGGCGTAAGCTGCAATAGGTGAAATTCTGATGGGAAGTAAGAAAAAAATTGTTTCTCTGGTTCAGTTGCTTGGAAAGGCTGGAGAATCTCCATCCTTGCAGTCTTTTAAAGCTTGTCTGAATAAGGCCCTGGGTCACTTGATCTCACTTTGAAATTAGCCGTGTTGTGAGAAGGGTTCAGGACAAGACCTCCAAAAGTCTCTTCCCACCTAAACTCTTCTGTAAGGTGTGATTCTAGTGTTTGGATATTCATAAAATGCATGTGTGATGGGCCTCAACTATGATCTGTACTGACATTGTACATATTCTGAAAATATTTCCTCTTACCTGGGAATCACAAACACTGCTGTGCCTGGTGTGCCTAAGTGGAAGAATGAGGGATCAACTGCATTTACATGTCTTAGTACCTTTTTCTCTTCTTGAAGTCTAACTTGTGTATATTGTAACTGAGTACTACTCTTTAGTCCCCAGTGTCATTTTAATGTAAGTTGGTTTTGCTTCTGCTAGAAAATACTCAAGTGAAAGCCCAGCACAGCTGCACGGCACTGACTGAGTGTGCCTTAGATGTTAATTCCGTAACTGTCAGTAATATTTTCCAGGTGCTGCATTTGGTCGTCTTATTGGGGAAATCATGGCATCCCTTTTTCCCAACGGGATCCTCTTTGATGGTATTGTTTATCAAATCTTACCTGGAGGGTATGCTGTCATTGGTGAGTCTCTATGTCTTTCTTTTTCTTCGCCTGGCCCCATCCCCATGACATTACTGGTTGACATGACATGCTGCCTCTGTATGACAGACTTTGTCTCTCCCTATTCCTTTTCCACCCTACCTCGAAAAGGTGCAGCAGCAATGACAGGAGCAGTGAGCCACACCGTCTCCACGGCTGTGATCTGCTTTGAGCTAACGGGTCAGATCTCCCACATCCTCCCCATGATGGTGGCTGTCATTCTTGCCAACATGGTGGCCCAGAGTCTGCAGCCCAGCCTCTATGATAGCATCATCCAGGTGAAGAAGTTGCCCTACCTACCAGACCTGGGCTGGAATCACATAAGGTATAGTAGTAAAACAGAGGTGGAGGTGGGGAGTGGCAAAGAAGTAAAGCAGAAGAGGGTAAGAACATGGGAGAATAAGAGGTCATGAAAAGGGGATAGTGCCACAGAGAAAATAAAACGACAGAATAGGCCTGCAGCAAGAAAAAGCAAATGGTATAGCAGGACTAGGGTTCATAAAGAGAAATGGAGAAAAGTTGTCTTCTTTCACTAAAAGCACGGATTTGAAGAATCTGAAACATTACTGAACTTGTATGAATCTTGCCAAATTGCTTCAGTTAAAAAATTTAAAAATCAGATGCCTCATTTCCATTTTTTTCTAAATCCAGTGGAGTTTGTGTTGTTTTCTCCAGCAAATGCTTGAAATATCATTTTATTTGGATATTTTTCTTATAGAAAAATTAAATTATTCATATATGTGCCTTTCCCTCTCTAGTACATATAATATACATAGGTATGTATACATAAAACATCTGTACATATATCTATGTGTGTATTTTTATGGTGAGGGGTAATGGAGTGGAATACACCTATAATGCAAATCCAGTTAATCTGCATTGGAAAGTTAATCTGAATTGGAAAGTTAATCTGTTAGAAAGATCTTTGGTTACTCTCACAGATTATCAACTGTCATGAGAACACTTTTTAAAGAAGAGGTCATTTATATATTTCTTTAAGGAATTTATCTGCTAGATATTTTTAATATTATAACCTTGCCCTTATTGTCCATAAATTCACAGCAAATACAATATCTTTGTTGAGGATATTATGGTCCAAGACGTTAAATTCGTCTCCTCCGATTGTAAATACCGAGACTTGCAAACTGTACTCCAAAGCACGACCGTTAAGACTTTGCCTTTGGTGGACTCACAAGGTAAGCAATGTGGAGAAACAGGTCCTTCCTTAAGACCGTCTCAGTTTAAAGAGCCAAAGAAACTAGCTTTCAAATTACATGCTGTGAAGGAGACATAAAAAAAAATCATCCTAAAATCTTCCACTATGGATGATGCATGACAGAAGGCTGTTCCAGCTGGTCAGACAGGTAAGCTGGAGTGTGGGCTGTGAAGCAGATCCAGCAGGTAAGAGAGGTGTGGGGGAAGTTTGTGGACTGTTCTGTGACAGCAGTGAGGGATCTTGCATAAGTAAAGAACCTGCTTCTAATGTGGTGCTGAGGAGTGGCGCAACTGAGGAGTAGCAAGCTTCTCACAGACGTGCAGTGTGTTATCAGTAACTAGGAGGACCAGTCAATGACTCTTGTACAGCTCTGAATAGTACAAGTTTGAGCGCTTTGCAGAGATTCGAGGGAGGAAGGGACAGTGTGGGCAGGGGACATTCAAAACTCTGAAGTGGCTTTAATGGCTTCTCTGCTCTGTGTTGTTCAGAGACCATGATCCTTCTGGGGTCTGTCGAGCGATCTGAGCTGCAGGCTCTCCTCCAGAGACATATAAGCCCGGAACGGCGACGGCTCCTCAACAGAGAAATGCAGCAGAAGTTGTCTGAGGCACCCTATGATGGGCACAGCAAGGGACCGTGGGCAACCCTACCAAAGCTGAAGCATGAATCTTTTGCTTATGTCGATGAAGATGAGGATACAGATGAGAAGGGAGAGGTGAGGAAGTGGAGAGACTGCAACACGGAGACTCCTTAAGAAGTCGTAAGGCATTTGGACAGGCTGAGAAAGAAATTACATAGGGTGGACTTTATTTTTTCTCCTTTCTGTAGCAGCTGCCTCAGCCCCCAAGTCCCACTCCCAGTTACCCAGAGGAGCCCAATGGCCCGACAAGTCCTCATAAACAAATGCCTGAAACTTTGGAGTCACAACAAGTCACAGGTATGGTAACTTCTTGTATGTCCAAGACACATCCGAGCCAGCTTGTGGAAGCTTTCTTGCTGTGTTTATGTGCCTGTGCTAGATACTGACATCCCAGAGATATGGAGGAGATTTCTCTGCTGTGTCTGTATTAAAGTTACTAGGTTAATACACCTCAACATCAGTGTGACATACCTAGAAGTATCTTCTGATTGTGATCCCTTAGAGAGCATGGCAAAAGCAAACCCATTCATGTTGCGCTCTCTCGGTTAGTACTCCCCACTCGATCCTTTGCAACAACATCTCCCCAGGCATTTTCTGGAGAGTCCCTGCGGAAGGATCCAATCTCTTGCCTCTTTCATCCCATGAATGAAATTCCCTGGGAAACACAGCCTGAGAGCTAAACATCTGTACTTGTTTTTTAAGTAGCTTAGGCTGTTGCTCAGCCATCCCCAAAACTTAACAGCTCCTCTCATGGACATGCATCTCTGATTCAGCTACATTACTATGATGGACAAATATTGATGCATTGTGTTCTTTGTATTCATTATATATGATTCAGAAATGAGCTGAGTAATGCCTTGGAAGCAAAGCTAATATAGACTGCTTCTAAGACAGTACTCAGCTCATTTCTGAATCATACATCATGTATATTTGATGCAGGATTTTTCCTATACATGTCTTGAAATATGCAGAGAGTGTGTAAGCACAGAGGTGTAGCCCAATATTGAAAATGAATACAGAGGATAAGGCTCTGGCTTATGCTTTTAGGCACCCGAAGGCTATAATGTAATATAGGATATAGCACATTCTGGTTCCTTAACCCCACTCATGTGTGACTTAACCTCTAAGGCATAGGAAAATCCACTTTATGCTTCCAGACCAGTAGAGTGGTGGGACAGCCATCCACCTTCTTTACCAGAGCAGAAAAAGAATCACATCAAAACAAGGATGTGTGTGAGACATTTTATGTGAAGCGATCGAGGAGTGACCAGAGGAAGTGGAGCAGGGGTGACTTCACAAGGCCTTTCCCTGCCACAGTTTTTAGCTTGGTTCACAGCTGTCATTGTTTCTGACCAACCTTCCTCCACAGCCTTGTTCGCTTCACAACATCACCAAACCCCATCTCCTCCTCTTTGCCAATTCCTGACTGTCCTGCCCGGGAGAATGATTCTGCAGTCTTTTTCACTCCCACCATTACACTAGTGGCACAAACCCATGGACTCGTCACCCTTTTGTACCTGTCACATTCAGGCTGTTGATGTGTTTTGTCTTTGAAGTAATTTCCAAATTCTCACCTCCCCTTTCCATACTCACCCATCAAACCACATTCTCTTCGCGGACTGCAGAAACCTCTCATCACAGCATTTAATACCTTGTCTCAGATTGTTTGCTGTGTTAGTAGTCTTGCTTCTGGTTTTGTTTTGTTTCCTTCAGGGACACTGATCTATGAATAGTATCTGCAAGGGCTACTTTGCAATGATTTGTTTCTTCTCCCTGAGGAAAAGATATTGCATGGGAATATTCATTCCAGCATTTCCCAGACAGCATCTAATAAATTGAATGCTAGATTGTGAGTGGCTCAGCCCTGTCATTTACCATCTATGTCTCTCACATTATTCCCCAGCCTGTCTTGGGCAAGGAAACAAGCATGAGTCTTTGTATTTTTGTCTCACTTGTTCTTCTCTCTTATCCATGTATTTGTTTTTATCCTTTAGGCAATTTCAGGAGTTTGAGGCAACTGATCCAGCAGCTCTTGTGCCATTACAAGTGTCCACTTGAAGCAGAGAGTGCCACTCAGGTTAGGGACACAGAAAGCCTAGTAGTACCCTGAAGAGGAGAGGGAATGCAATGGAAATAGAACCTACTACTCAAAGCCATTCAGGATTTGGCCAAAGCATGGACACACTTACGGTCCTGAACTCTGACATCATCAGTTGGGAAGTCTCTCTAAGGAGAAAGGATGTGGTTACTGTGAAGGAGTGTGCAACTCCCTAAAGATCTGTCTGTGCTCAGGTGTCAAGGATACCATCATGATTCAGTGTGGGCATCTTTTTCTCAGTGAATAACTTAATGCTATTTTAGCTAACCTGGAATGAAGCGTAGTTATATTCTATTTGGCAAACAGTTTTGGTCAGATAAAAATGAAATTACGCTTTTGTCTTGTGCCATGTTAGATGTTCTTGTTCTGACATCTGCACAGTGTTGGTGAATATCAGACAGAGTCTGTGGGATTCCCACCCACTCTATGGCAGTCGCTGGATCCCATGAGAGACATCTGAAAGCATCTAAAGCAGTGCTAGATGACCATGTTTAGGCACCTGAATTGCTCCACCAGCACTCCACAGTCAATCTTCATTAGCAAGGGAAGCACAGCAAGTAGAGTGAAGCATTGCAACACTGTGCCCAGGGAAGTGGTGGAGTCACCATCCCTGGAGGTGTTCAAAAACTTGTATACATGGCAATTCAGAATATGGTTTAGTAGTCATAGTAGTGTTGGGTTGACAGTTGGCCTTGATAATATTAGAGGTCTTTTCCAACCTTATTGATTCTATGATTCTACAGAGTAAACCGTATAAAGCAGGACTACAAAGAAAATCTAAACACTTTGGGATAAAAAGAGGACCACATGGGATGAGGAGGCTGTGCAAATTTTTCCTTTCAGAAGTCTACGAAACCGTGCATTCTTTGTCTGACCTGAACACTGTTTTCTCCCACAGGTGCCAGCAGAAGTCATTGAAACAATGAGTCCAGAAGAGGTGAGACTGGGCACAGAAAGGGGGTGAGGTTAACTGAGTGCTTCTTTTGCCCATTTCCTGTAATTTACAATACTTCCTAAACCACTTAACAACTTCAGTGATTGCCACATAAAGCCATAGCTAAAGCCATTTTCTTCTTAGAGTTGCACAGTGAGCAAGTCTCATCCAATAAGAGGAGAGATTGTTCTGCTAGATGTGCTGAGTAGGCCTCAGACTAATCTGATCTAACTCTGAAGTCAGCCCTGCTTTGGGCTAGAGACCTCCACAGGCCTCCCCTCACCTAAATCTTTCTGTAGGTCTGTGCTGTTCCTTCATTTGTTACACAAAGGAACAATTATCTTGCAATGACAGGGGGAAGATGCACTCAAAAAGGAAAACTAAGATGTTCACTCCCTCTTTAAAGGGGCAAAACCTCACATTTGCAGAAAACCTCTGAGGTACTGAAATTGCTCTGTTTCCATAAGGACTTGACATCTGGCAAGGAAGGGCTGGAAAACCTGAGGGGTGTGATATAATGGGCAAGATTAATAATCTACACAGGAAGGAAGAAGCATTAACATGAGAATGGGACTAGTCTAGGTACACAAGACACCAACACTACTGACTACTGTGAAATTGATTCCTCTTCATTCCTGCGTCAGATAGATGCTTGGGAACAGGAGGAGCTGAACAAGAATGTGTGCTTTGACAGCTGCCGCATAGACCCTTCGCCGTTCCAACTCGTGGAGAGGACTTCCCTGCATAAGGTGGGTGCAGATATCTCTCTTGGGCATAAACTGTCTTTCTCTACCCTATCATGGCAAGTCTAGTCTATGACTTATTTCTTCTCCTTGTTTTCACCTACAACTACCATCACCAGCTACTTCCACATCCAGCTACAGAAGTCGGTTTGTTCCCATAACCTTCTGCGTGTATCTCCAGTTTCCTGTGAAAGGCTGCATGATAAGAAGTCTGAGTACATTTATTAAAATAGCTTTCAGACACCACATAAGATCTTTCAGCTACTACATTAACAGAAGCATTGTATGCCTTGCTGCTGGGGGCATTGCACTGACCCTTACACTCTGCCTTGTCAGTGTACAGCTCTGGAATAAGTACTCTTGCATTTCTTCGGGTGTTTCTGTCAGGGTCAAGGGTCTGCCACAGTGCTTGACAACAGTTGCTTGAAACCACCCTGTATCATAGGCTCTTCATTGAACTGAAGCACATGGAAAAGGCAAAGTGGATCACAACTTCTAGAGTCAGCACAGGTTGACTGGGGATAAAAGCAATTGTATATCAGGAGTAAGAGAGGACTGGGCTTTCACTCAGTGGAAAGAGAAAGCAATGTACTGAAGCAAAAGTGCACAGTGTGTGTTTTTATCAATATTCATTAATGTGAACAGTCAGCATATGTCTTGCACAAAATTAGTTGATTAACGTGTATCAGAAGGGTAAAATCTCAGCCTTGAGCAAAATAAGAAAAGGTTAGCATATACTTAAGGTGAGTTTGGTGTTTTCTAAAGGACTGGCTGAAGTAATCTGAACGCCACTAGCAATTTATCTTTGAGAATACAGGGATACAAGAATTATACCTGAAGACTGCAAATGGGGAAAGTTTCATACCTTTTGTAAAAAAAAAAGCAAACGAGAAACACTGAAATAAGAGACAACTTAACTTGGATGCACAAAAAAATGCAGGAATAAATAATCAAACTACCCGAGGTATGCATAGTTAGAACTAAATGTGAGACTACTGATCTACTGACAATGGCAAGAATATCATACTTTATCATGATACAATTGTATTAATCACTCTGATTTTTTTTACATGAAGGTAAATTGTCTTGTTTCTAAGAAATGAGATTTTCCCTAGTTTACATTTGAACATGACATTCAATACCTTATGTGATGTTAAAAAAAAGGTAAACACCAACCGTGAAAGAGTAACTTCATTTAAGGCCCCAGGTGAAGTTCAGCTAGAGCTCAGCTTAAAGAACTTGGAGGCTGGAAATATGTGACGGATGAGCACTGAGAATGCTGAAAGTTTTAGAAAGCCTGATCTATGAAGAACTGTAAAATAATGGGGTGTATGTAGGCTGAAGAAAAGAAGACTGACAGCAGTGTGATATCTCTCCTTTTAAGAAGGCTTTGTAAAAGAAAAGGAATAACTTGCTCCCTGCTCCCACTGCACTGGATAAGCAGCAACAAGCTTAAGTTTTGACAGGAAATATTATGAAATTTTCTAATGTTAATGAAAGCACTGGAATAAAGAACCGAAGCAGGTTCTGACTTTGCATATTACTACATGACAGTTTCATTTCCACCACCAAAAGGAAATAGGATCTGCACAAGTCCCCAGTTACACAGCATGTTGCATGTGAATCTCTATTTGCCAAATGCAGGATGGGAGTGACCTTGAGAATGTGTTCTCCATCAGCACACTCCCAACTATGGCTGCACAGTAGAAAGACCAAAGGGTAGTATTTGCTAGCTACAGCAGGGGAGGGGAATAGGTAGGTTCTCACTGGGATAATTGCACGCTTGCGTGCCTTTGTGATTCCCATTTCTGAATCCCAAGCCCCAGCTCTAGTACCATGTTACCAGTTTCCAAAGTCCCTGAAATGGCCTTTTGTGGTTTTGCTCATAGACGCATACATTATTCTCACTACTGGGCCTCAGCCATGCCTATGTAACCAGTATGGGGAAGCTGAGGGGAGTACTGGCTTTGGAAGAGGTAAGTACAGATCCTTTCATCTCCTCCTAATCAACTGCAAATGTCCTGTGGATCACTGCAAGAACTTACAGGTGCCGGAGGATCCAGCTGGGAATGTATATAACTGTGATTGCTACATTTTCATTATGATATTGAATTCTGAGTCCACGCTTTGGAAGCCATATAGAGGAATGGATGACTGTATTTCAGAGGAGGTAGCAGGTGTTGTGTAAAGCAATGTTAGGTGGTCCATCCTTTTCGTGAACATAGGGCTCTGAACTAAGTGGCTGTTACTGTCTCTGAAAGAGGTGCAAAATTTGTTATTTACTGTGAAATGAAAACTTGTAACAGCAGTGTAAAAGCCAATCTCCATAAGCCTCAGAGGTAGAGCTGTGACTCTCTCTATTTGTGATCCCTTTACCTTGAAGAGTAGATAAACTTCTGCTGGGCAGGGCTGGGTCAGCATCCCTCTCATCTATTTTCTCCTGAATTTTTTCTCTTCTCATAGCTCCAGAAGGCAATAGAGGGCTCCACACGCTCTGGAGTTCGCCTCCGCCCACCTCTTGCTAGTTTCCGTGATACCAACCGGACTTCCATCAGCAGTGAGAAGGCCAGTCAGGCCACTCGCGTGTGGAGCCAGCAGGACAACCCCATGGTGGCAGCCCAGCAAGCAGTGGACTTTGGCACAGAGAGCCCACTGCCTCCCTCTTCACACTCCTCCCAGCCCTCACACTTGCATGATGAGAGGAAAGCCTTGTGTTCCACTTATGCCGGTGACACTGAGTCAGAAGAGATGGAGCTGACAGGGCCAGTTGCTGAAAGTATCTCAGACATCCTGAAGGACATAAACCTACACTCCACTGACGTGGATGAGGATGAAGATGAGGATGAGGATGTCGCCTTATAGCTGGTGTGAGGGGAGCAATCCATCACACTCTTCAGTTGAGTCAGTCTTCTTGTGTTTGTTCCTCAAAGACAAGCTTTTGGATGTTCTTTGCAATCCCCACAGAGGATTGATTCAGTTGGGAGAAGGGGCATCAGACTGACCCCTTCTGCTGCTGCTTACTTTCTCTGTAGACTGTTCAGCTGTTGGACTATAAAGGTGTGTGCAGGGGTCACGTGTGGACTGCAAGGTGGCTAAGGGCAGGCTCAAAATGCTCAGGCTTCTACCAAATCTACATAAAATGGCAGAAGGGATTGTAACAGAACATGAATAATGCTGGGCACAGTCAGGATACTCTGGGTCAATCTGCCATGTGGAAAATGGATGGGGAGCAGCTCTTTTTTATTCTCCACTGGTGTCTTCCTTCTAGGCACACCTGGCCCGCATGCACCGGTGTAAACACAGACAGACCTCCAGCCTAGAAGCATATTGCTGCTTCTGACTGCAAGCCTGTCCATGTTGCTGCAACTCCTTTTCACTAGCTCTTATCTTGCATCCCTGCCAAACATTCCCATGCAGAACATTTTTCCTCAGTTTTCACTCTGGGATTTTCCTGGATGGGGGTGCAGTTAGGAGCTTCTCCTCTGTCCTTTAGCTGAGCCATGTCCTAAAAACAGATTGGAGAAAAACATCTGATGTGTGTCTCATGACTTGAATTCAGCCAGGGCTCTAAGAAAAGCACTGGAAGGAAGGAAAACCTCTTTCTTTTCCCATCATCTGTGGAATTTTTTAATAGAATGGGAAAATCTTAAGAGAGGGCATCCTCGGTGTTGGAGGAAGAGGAGTAAAACAGCATGTACGCACCTATATTTCAAATTCCTGTGTTTGTCTCTCTGAATCACTGTTCATAATTTTTAAAAATTTATAGTCTTAAAATATAAGAACTCAAAAAAATGTATGGAGTATAAGCAGGCTGTCAAGAAATACAGCAGAGGGAAGCCACACTTTCTACACTTTGAAAACACATTTCTTTCTGAAAACTCCTGCTCTCTTTCCCAGTAATTCTACCCTGCCTACTTTCCACATATTTCTGCATACCTCAGATCTGAGAATTCCAGCTCTCACTTTTGCCAGCTTGTCTCTGTTGTGACTAACAGCGGAGACCTCAACCCTTGTCTGCAGCATCCCTCTCTATTCCAGTTCTAAATCTGGAGCAGATCTTGATCTGTGTCTTGCAAAAAGATGTCTTGTCAGTATGTGTCATGCATGCAAAATCTTAGCATTCAAAGATAAGATGCGGCTTTGTTTAACTTACTGTCCTTGTGAGGTTTTTCTCAGTAAACAGGCAAAATCAAATTCTGTGTATTCTGTGGCTTTCCTCTAATGTTCTACATCTCTATAATAATTTTGGTATGTCGTGGCACTTACTTAGATGTAGTCCCAAGCAGCCTATTAGATGTGTTTCCACTTATCAGCAACAGGCTCTGATAATATGTTCTTGGGGAATTCTCCCAGCTGTTGGGCCGCATCACCTTTCCTGATATTAGTAAAGCATTATCTAAATCGGAGTGACAAGTTTAACCTTCACAGGTGGTTTTTCATAAGCTATCTCCGGAGCAAGTCAAAAATATCATTGTCTCTAACCCAGTCTCCCTAGAAAATAAATGCTCCTGGCTTTAACACCGACCTTGCACCAATTCCACTCTGATGATGCTTAGGGATAGGAGAGTCTGTGACAAGCTTATAGTATAGGAAAATCTCTGCAGCTAGTCCCTTGAAGAGGAGAGATTTATCTTTGCTGTCTGGAATTCAGAACCCACCAGCTCTATATTGTGATCCACCTCTATATAAGCCAACTGGGGGCAGCCTTTCCCTGCCTAAGAGATCTTCAGTGACCTTGTGAGAAGATAGTGGTGATCTGAGGGCAAATCTCCTGCACACACCAGCTGCTTGCCTCCACCAGAGGGTTATGGCAATTTCTGGCTGCCAGGCATTAGCACACAGCCTCCCTGCTACCTTTGTGGCACCTCTCCCTGCTTGCAGAGGCAGAACAACTGCTATTTTTCCTCAGGGAACTGTGATAGTCCTTCAAATAAGCAAGTGAGAAAGGACATTCCTTTCAAAAAGGTGAGTGGCAACACTCTTGAGACCAAATCTGATCTGACGGTCCACCAAGTTTCTCCAAGTCAGTCCCAGCCTGACTACTAGCAAGTACAGACTTCAATTTTGCTACTGAGACAAATGAGACAAGGAGAAACTTTAATGTTGGAGTTAATGCACCTCCCCCTCCTCTCTCCTGAATACAGATATATGTTCTGCTCCAGTCCCACACTTCTCCTACACTGTGTTACAGAAGAACTGGGATCTAAGTGGCTGAGAAAACAGATGGGGTCCAAATGAAAGCCAGAGAGAGTGTGAGTCATGACAGGCAGATTGTGATCTGGGGGAGATGAAGCTGGAACAAAACTGACGCAGATGGAGAGGCCTGGGGAGCTCAGAGTAAGACACCAGCTAACCTGGAAAGCTTCTTGAAGTTTGTCACCTGAGCATACAAAAGCACACACATGTGTACCCACACATGCACACCCACATCTCTCCATTGCTACTGCCTTTAGCTGTTCCAGAGTTACCATAACAAGCTGGACTGCTCTCTGTGTGGAGCCTGAAAGGTGGGTGTTACTGTTGCTCTTTGGAGCCATTACTCAAGATCCATTCCAGGTATGCCCCCATCCTTGCAGCAGAAGCAGCAATCCTCCTCATCAATACAGGCTGGGGGATGACGTGATAGAGAGCAGCCCTGCGGAAAAGCACTTGGGGGTACCAGTGGATGAAAAGTTTGACCTGAGCCGTCAATATGCGCTCACAGCCCAGAAGGCCAATCGCATCCTGGGCTGCATCAAAAAAAGCATGGCGAGCATGTCAAAGGAGGTGATTCTGCCCCTCTGCTCTGCTCTGGTGAGATCTCACCTGCAGTACTGGGTTCAGCTCTGGAGCCCCCAACACAAGAAGGACATGGAGCTGTCGGAGCAGGTCCAGAGGAGGGCCACAAAAACAATCAGAGCACTAGAGCACCCCTCCTATGAGGACAGCCTGGGAGAGCTGAGGCTGTTCCGCCTGGAGAAGAGAAGGCTCCAGGGAGACCTTATAGTGTCCTTCCAGTACCTGAAGGGGGCCTACAGGAAAGCTGGGGAGGGGCTGCTTACAAGGGCAAGCAGCAATAGGACATAGTTTTAAACTACAGCAGGGTAGATTAGACATCAGGAAGAAGTTCTTTACTGTGAGGGTGTTGAAACGCTGGAACAGGTTGCCCAGAGGGGTCGTGGAGGCTCCATCCCTGGAGACACTCAAAGTCAGACTTCACGGAGCTCTGAGCAACCTGATCTGGTTAAAGATATCCTTGCTCACTGCAGAAGGGGTTGGAAGAGGTGACTTTCAAAGGTCCCTTCCATCCCAAAACATTCTATGATTCTATGATTCATCTGCACTCTTTTCTTACATGGGAAACAGTATGCATACATGAATGTGTATAGGGAGCCAGGAGGGATCAAAAAACATACTGAAAGATGTTTTGCAATGGCTGAAGATGTTTCCACCTTCACTTTACCAATGAAATCTTCACTGAGCTGAAGCCAAGTACTTTAATAGGTGTTAAATGTGCAGTAAACTGATACTGAATCCTTGTCAAGGGAACTCTAAGCTTGCACCCTCTCAGGCAGTCCCAGTACGTCCCCTCACAGTTTAAACTTGAAACCTTTGTCCAGGAAACAAAGTCACACTAATCTGTCACTCTAAAACCTGCTTTTCTCACAGACTAGGTTACCTACACACAAAAATCATTTTTCCCTAACCCAAATTATCCCCAGAAATTGTATCAGCACAGAGGCCTTCCCATTCAGCTAGAAAGTCAAATCTGGGATCTATGTCCCCAAAAATCTAAGCATGAGCCTTGAAAAACAAGAAGCTCTGAGGCTGTTTTGAACCATAGAAGCTTGCTTTTCTCATAAATGATGTGCAGTTTCTTAGAATCATTGTTTTGGGCAGAGATCCATGTTACACCAAGCTTGCCACTACCACTCAAAGCACTAAAATAGAGTTGATTCTTTTTCAGCATTTTCAACTCCAACTTATTCATCATCTGCTGAACTGTACTTGGTGTTCAACATATAATAGTTTAAGAAGAACACGATAGTAAAAAATCTCCATCAGAGCTGAAAATTTGGGGAAAACACCATGACTATGATCACAACCACCTAGAAAAAAATCCTTTGACCTTGTATCTTCTACAAAAATGTAGTCTTAATTTCAACTAATTGCCAGTTTACTGGTATTTGGTTAATGAATGCAAGAAATTATCTACTAAATTTTAATCTATCAAAAAGTTGAACTCAGCATTTAAATGTGAAAGCAGAAGTCTTGTTTTTAAACTCATCGATATAGAGAATTGAAAAAAATAAGGAAGATGAGGTTAAGAAGACAACAGATAGGGCTTTGAGTAGTTATGACAAGGCTAAGAGACTTGGTCACGATTTGGACAAAGGAGAAAACACATGGAGATAGACTACTGGAAAGTGAGCATAATTTGTTTGAACAATGTAACATCTTTTGAAAATTGTTTTAGAATAAAATAATTCAATGGACAAAACCAGTTAGTACAAGCAGAAATAGAGAGACAGACAGAATCATAAAAAATTACCCTCCTCTCCAGAGTTAGGCAAACACTGTATAGAAGTGTGTGTTTTGTGAACAAGGAGTACAAGATAGGGCAATAACCACTTGGGCAACTAAAGATCCCTCTTTGCCAAATTAGTCTAACCCCAGGAAGGGTATAATTAAAAACACACTATTAAAAATACTGTCGCAGCAAGCACTAAGTTGTTCACGGCAACATAAGCAAGGATCTGTGCACAGCTCTCATAACGATTTAATCAGCACTGGAGACCAATAATGAGTATTTCCACATAGAAGCCATGCCTGAGCATTAGTACTCTCAAACAGAGAAAAATATTTTTTATCTTAAATCATGT